AAGTGCCCTGAGTCGTTTCAGTCTCATTCGGGAGTAGATTGGAAAAGAGCATGGGGGTATGCTCTCAAATAAAGCAAGTTCCCTACTAAGCATCCTAGAGGCAAACGGAAGCAATGTTCTATCCGCTCAAGGAGGGGTTTTGCCTAGTAAAGGTGGGCGTCTAGTGAGACAATATTTGTGTAGTTTATGATGTTTATGACGCAACACTCCGGTTCTCTGAAAAGAGGTCTTTGCATGTAGGACGAACGTGAATGACCAGTGAACACTTGCTGATGATTTGCCTCCTTCAGTTTCTTGGGCGTGAAAGTCACCTCGCAAGAGCCGACCTGCAAGAGTTTTGAGGACTTTGAAGGGACATGACAGGTGAAAACGAAAAGCTTCAGCAACATCGTCCCTGGTGAACCTTGTCCCCTTCCAAGTTTGCTGAAGTCAAGTCCCGTACCTTGTCAAATCAAAGCCATTGACTTTTAGTTTAAGGATCAACATGGACTAAGCTCACTCAGAAAGGAGAAAGACATATATATATATCTAAACTAAACAGGACATGTCAGTCTATATAAACAGGTGTAAAGGAACAAGAAAAAGGAAAAACAACAACAAAATACATATTACAGACCAGCCAGTAGCTTAGCTGCCAAGCCTTTTCTCAGCGACCGACCAATTTGAAAGACTCCAAGTGTTGCGCTGCAAGGCCAGGAGTTTTCCGCCCGGCACGAATCTTGCTGATACGGACCTGATGGCACAAACAGAACCATTTCAATCTGTTCTAATTAATGGTCCCGCGTCATTCGTTTGTCGGTTCTAATATGTTCTAATAGTTTGTTTCTCGATGGTACTCCATTCACCTGGTTTGTTGGATTTTGCATGATGTTGCATTCGACGTGCCAGGCGCTGGTCTGATTGTTCGTCCTCTGACTCTAATCGTCAGCGACTCAAAAAAACAAACTGGGCTGGGAAGCATTTTACATTACTTTTCATACAACTTTAGGACAACTGTGCCCTAGCCAAGTTGCTGGGTAACCCAGGATGGCGGCCTCAGACCAAGACTCCAGCGTGTGGACTCTCACCAGCAAGTTGATTCAGCAGCTCGGGTGCCCACATAACCCAAGGAGTTTCGTAGGATTTGGCCGCCTCCTTCCAGTACGGAACCGTCCACCTCTCGACATGCACGGAAGCACATCGCCACAAATACATTCGGGTGTACCAATTTTGGTACATACTTAGCACGGGCTCAAAAAGAGTGTGCAACCCATTCTGTGTCTTGCAAAGGCAAGCGGTGGGCTGTATTTTTGAATATGCTTGCATGCTTTGGCCTCAAGTACCGCGCTGTGACCAGCGCTTCCTTGCCTGGACGAGGCATAATGCACATCCATCGACACGCGTCGGAATACATTAGCCCAAAGCATCAAGCCACAGAGAATGTATCATTGCAATCTCCACAGCACCGAAGTGCTCTTGCACGCTGTTGTCGGCAATTCAACATCCCCCCCCTCCTTGACCCAGTTGGTGCGGCAGCTGGACCTGACCAGAATCAAACTGCTCTTTAGAAAGTCAACTGCCTGCCCCCCAATTCACACGGTTATCTCAGTTAGGAACCCTGAAAGAAGAGATGAAGTGGCTAACCCAACCACCAAAAGCTTCACCCAACCACCAAAATCTGTTCTGCTACACTGGCCGTTTGGAGGGTACCACATGTCTTCTGCTTCCCCTCTCATCCCATTTCATCCTCCCGGTCGCCTTTTCGTTCCAAGTCGATTTCGGCCGCTTGGGGGATATCCGACCGCTCAAAATCTCTCCGCCGCTTGCCTCCATCTCCAGTCAGCTTGAAGTTAATTCTTTCTCGCCGGTCGTCCTGGGACGAAAGACTGTCAGGCTGATATCTCGTCGTTTCAAGTTTAGGTTCTTTCCTTCGGGGGGCGGGATGCTTGGGTTTGACCTCCAACTGCAGGCAACTGACAACAATCTCCTGTCTCTCTCACATCCTTTTCTACCAGTGTCTGTGGACAGGTGGATTTCACCAGCACTCCTCGTACGTAATTGCCTCAACCATGAAGCTGCGCCCTTCCATCGTGCTCCTGAAACAATAAAAAGAAAAAGCAAGCAGGATCTGCTGCTATGGAGCATTGGCTCACGGCCACTTACTCGTTTTTGAACAGGACAAACTGAGCAAGCAAACTCCCAGGGGCTGAGCCGCTCCTGTTTGAGTCAACAAAATCTTGGGCTTGCTGGTAGTAGGCTGCCTCACATGCTCCAGCAGCAAAGAGCTATCGTACATCGCCTCTTTCCATCCAAGCTAGTATATACAGTAACTCGATGTGAGTCATGATCTGACGACTCTGTCTGCTTTACCTGCCTGAATGTAGGCGAGAGACACATGGCCATCCTGGCAAGAAAAAGTCGCAGGGCACTTTGTGCAGCTGTCGTCTCTGCAGAAGACTACTGTATACAGTCTGCAAGAACAGTTGAACAGTTGAACGGATCTTCAGCTGCAAATGCCGGTAAACCGACATGGGAACTGGAATCACAAGTGAGTCCACGGTGGCTGCTTCTTTCTAAGGGTGTGGCACTGGTGGGGTAAGGGTCATGGCTTCGCTTGTGCGACTCCTCCATGCCTTCCAACCAACTGTCCTGCACAGATCCATGGAATTCATAACTCATGTGCGATCGAGAGAGAGGGAGAGAGAGGGAGGTGGGGAAAATCAGTGTATATTTACCAAAAAAAATATGTTGTACTATATTCACACACAATAATATATTGTTTTAAATAGGAACCAAACATCACTGATATCTCAAGATCTGAGATCGCGCAAGTCTCCTTCAAGGCACGAAGACCCGGACTCTCAAAGGCGACTCCTCAGGCGTCTCCGGAAGACATCGAAAGGGAGCAAAGCGCTCAGAAAGGCTCCTATGCAGTAGACGTCGGCATCCCTGAACAGCAGAGAAAAACTTGGCAAAGATAAAACAAAAACAGACGCGAGGCAAAACAGGCAATGAGGCTTTGTTGGCTTCAAAAGTCTTGCTCGACAATTTTGGCAATAAAAGACCCAGATCGACCATTTTTGGTTGGTGGTGTGTCGAGATCAAGGTTCTTACCAAGATCGGTGATAATGTTATGTAGAGAAGTTGCCTGATGCGGTCCACCCGGGAGAGGAAAAACTCTTTCACTTTGAGCTCAACCGGCCCGGCATCGGCACAGACCTTCGGCGCTGTGTGGCACAAGATCGAAGGACTGCGACGGCTGACTGCATTGGAGATGAGCCGAGCAAAAAAAACAAACTCATCCAATCAGTACAACTGAGTTACTACTGTCCTCAGTAAACTCCGCGCCTGCTCAAGCCTGTCAAGGTGATCCAGCTTGAACATCCGAAGGGCAAAGGTCACGTGCAGCCTTCCATTGTGCTCAGTTCCGCTGGTTTGTAACGTACAAGAAAACAACATTAAACAGGATATAAACAATATGGAAAACACATGTGCACCTACTACATGATGTCAGTGGCCTATCCTTCAAGCCCTAAAAAGGCAAGAACTGCTGCACCCAACCTCTCTCGTTGAGGCTTTCCTCCATGAGAGACATCTATCCATTCTTTGGGAACCTGCACTGCTTTGGAGAAGAGAAGAAAGCGAAAGCCACAAGAAAGCCACAACGAAAGCTTCAAGCGAAAGCAATGAGTGAACTGCCTGCTCAGAGATCTGCCAAAGGCCCAACGGGTCTCCATCCTTGCAAATCTGAGGAATGGAGTGCTTGAGGAATGGAGTGGTTAAACTTCAAAACACCGTGTCAATTGAACCGACATGTATTGACATGTCCGCCAGCATGCAAGTCCTTCTATAGCTATTAAATGCTATTAAAAACACAGCCGAATCTAAGTGGCTCAGCTTCAAGCCGCACAAAGCGGAACGAAGCTCCATGGGACGGGGCCACGCTTCCCCTTGTCCCCTTTCTCTCCTTTCTCACCCTGCAAGCATGCAGATTTGGAGCACGCGGCGAAGTCTGCACAAGGGGGCAACTGTTACGTAACTCCAATTCGTTGCACCTTCTTGCCCTTCTCGCCCTTCTCACCCTTTTCTTGGCCCTTGCCTCAAGCACAACCCCAAGGTACGTTAGAACGACTCAGCAAAAGGATCGCACAAGAACCATCAAGAACCCACGATCCCCAGGACCAGCCCCCGCCCTTTCGGGCCCCTCGCCTTTCTCACCTCCCCAGGCTCCACGTCCACTACCTTTGGACCTGAAAGGGAGTCAAAACGAGAAGGGCGACCGATCCAAAGGTGCACGTCTTTCCAGACTATGGCACCGATCAAACTGAGAAGGAGGTTCAAGTTGACGAGCTGCATATCCAGATTAAAGAAAAGCAACGATGCTGTGCTCCACTCTTGGAATCCCACGTGCTTTGGGACGGATAACCACCCTGGCAAGTTGCTGGTGTACAAAAATCAAAAGCTGTGCCGTACGTGATTCATGATTCATGATTCATGGTTGCACAAGCTGGTGCCTTGCTGCCCCAGGCGTTTCCCTTCATGACTGATCCGCAATAAAATGATCTGCGTTTGTCGCTGTAGCAATATGGCTGATATACCTTTCTACCTTTCTCGGCAAACTACTTGCATCAAGCAGTAAGGCGGAGTTTATCAGACTACCTTTGAGTGCTGTCAAGCGTCACATAGATTGGGATTGGAAAATGATCAGATCGATCTTTGTTAAATCGATTGTGGCACTAGCTCGGAGCTTTTGAAGTGTTTGGTTCAAAACTGCCAAAATGCTTTGACACACGGTTGAATGCAATGATTTTACAGTATATCATTTGTGTCAGTATATATTTGGCTCAAAGGCTCAAAGTGAGGCTGCGCAACAAGCAACTCATGCAAGGTGAGGCTGTTTGTTCTTTTATGTTTACTGTAAAGAGCAGTGAAAAGCAACAGGTCGCATTCCGTGAAACCAGTCAGTATGCAGTTTTGAGTCTACGCAACGGTACAGTAACATCTTGAACTGAGAGCAAGACAGTTCATTGTACTTCTCTTCAAGGTCACTGGCCCGCCGCGCAGCCACAGCTCCATTGGCACTTTCAATGCTGAGCCTGTGCTTGACTCGGCCCCGGCTGAGTGCTGGTAACCAGTATTCGCCCCCCCCCCCAGCCATCAAAAATGGTGCTGCAACCAACGCTCAAAGGACTTCGAGGTCCCGACTTCTCCGTGTAGATTTGAAGGTCGGAGACAACCTGCACAAAGCAGCGCAAATCACGAGAAGTTGCACATCTTACGGCTACGACTATGACTGCTACCACGGCGACGATTGGTACTTCTACCTACCAGTTCTCCCCTGTATTCAGTCAACAGAATCAATCTTACTTTGACTCTCAGTGGGCATTCTTGCCGCACACATAGAAGGGTGCTCAACTTTCGCAGTTTCTTCCTGAACAGTCCTGCGGTTCAGGGAGCCCCATGTCACGAAGAGTTGTTTGATGTTGTTTGCACTTTTATTCACAAGCACGTCATTTGTTTATATCACTTTCACATTGTATTTCTGTCAAAGTGCCTCTTTAGAAAGAACCTAGACAAGCTCCGCCTTCTGCAGTTTTTCACACCGATCTTCGAAGTTCAGGGCCGTTTGGGTCATCTGCGCCAAGTGCTGCCGCTCGTCTGCCAACCTCACGTCGCGCCCGGGCGATCCGAACTGACTTCCGACCTGCACTGGTCAAGAGTAGAGTCATGCACAACTCAATCCAACCCTAACCCTTGTGCCAGCTACCAACATATACCAACATATGGTAACGCAGCTGGGAGAGTGAGGGGATGCTCAAGTTTGGAACCGTTGGAGCCAGGATTTTGGACATGCGTGGAACTTTGGTGGATCTTGCGCAAAAATTCACTGGTGACATGTCCCCAGAGCGCATATGATGCACAAACATCTGCACAACCGCCCACTGTCAGGGCTGCGCAAGGGTGCAGTTGCAGTTCAGTGTGGAAGGGAACTGGGCAATCCTGGATGCACTGTCAGGGCTGCGCAAGGACAACTTGAGTTCTCAGTTTGTTAGCGTGTGAGTGTGTGACAATCCTTTACGCACTGTGACGACTGAGAGGGCTGCGCAAGACAACTTTGAGGCTTCAGTTTGTCTGTGACAGTGGGGACAGTTCTACCCACTGGTTCTGCCGGATATATAATATGCATGTATATTTTTTTTTTCACCATATGTTGCTGGAACAGGAGAATATGAAAATGAAGACCTTCGATTGATTTTTTCGCAAAAAAAAATACCTTCTCAAATTTCATCGCGGATCTTATCGGGATGGATTGGACGGCATCTGAAAGGTCGTTTATATACTTCAAACAAAATATATACAGTAACCCTCACACACGCCTACTTGAGTGCATCAAAGGAGACACTTTCTTTGTCATCCTGCCAAACACAAGCCAAGACCGTTAGTTTCAGTTTCAAAGTTTCAGGCAACTGGGTTCTTCATCTCGATTTGGAATCTCCAGCCCAGCTTCTCTATATTCACCAACGTCTTGGCTGCAGGCATTTCTGGCAAATGTTCAAGACGCAAGTCCTGGTAATGCTCAACCCAGTGAAAGATGGACATATCATCATCGCTGGACCACAGTTGGTCTGAACAGTTCGAGCCTCATGCTCTAAACATGGTCATTGAGGTCCTTGTGAACAGAAAAGCACCGTCTCTCCAAGTCCTCTACGAAGTCACCTTGGTCATCCGTTGTGGTGATGGCTACAAATTCATCTCAAAAGGTTGCTACAGAAGTGGTGCAAGGTGCAAACATGTGCAGTTGGAATTCCTTCTGCCGCGGCGCTGAGGAGTTTTCGCTGCTGGCGCTCCTTCTCAAGCCTAGGAAGAGCGATAAGATTCGGCACGTGCTTGCACTGCGGGTTACGACTACTGCCCCTTGCCTTCAACCTTGCTGTCAAACATTGTTTTTTGCAAACAATATACATATATATATATATACATATAACAAACCCCAAATTTTGTGTCTAAAGGTCCCAGGTCTGGAGGTGTAGAAACAAAAGAATCTAGAGATCTATATAGGTGCAACGGGTTCCAGAATGAAGTGATGGTGGTTATGATGGTGGTGAGGAAGACCGCTGTCACCCCCGTCACCACCGTCACCACCCTCACCACCATCACCACCATCATCATCACCACCATCACCACCGCCACCACCATCACCATCACCACCATCGCCACCGACACCATCAACACCATCGCCACCATCACCATCACCAAAAGTGATCACCAACTCCGAAAATGTGCACGGCGCCACAACGAGAGCGCATTCAAGAAAAGTACCCGCGCCAGCCCACCAATTTCTGCGAGCACGCAGCACACACCGTCGAAACGCACTTCGAAGATCTCGAGGGGGAATGAACCTACTGTAAATAGCAGCGAAATAGCCGGACGCGGCGATGAGAGCCTCCGATCAGACACTTACCTGGACACACTGTTTGATGAAAAATGACCTTGATTGAAACAAACAAGATAGACTTAATTTATGATATTTATGCATGCTCATTTCAACCATGTACAGTAGTACATAAATAATCATCTATATATATACACACAATTATAAACAAGCTCGTTCGATTGAAAACCCACCAAAATCAACAAACCCAAATCAGCTCAGTAATTTGCGACGGCCTGAGCTGGCGACAGTGTCTCCAGATCTTTGGCATCAAGCACGGCCTGCGAAGGACACGAGTGCAACCCGAGGAACTGTGCCAACGAATGCTTTCCTTTACAGTAAGGTTCCACGAAACACGATGAACACTTCATGAAAACTGTGAAGCCGATGATCTCTGCGCTCAAACGCTGCGCCTGTTTCCAGCCCCGCTCAAAAGCACGTGTCTGTCTTTTGGACTCGTTGAGCTCTGCCAAAAACTTTGCCTCCTCCAAATGAGCCAGGCAGCTGTCAGATTGAACATGATTGAATTTCTTCAATCGAAGCTTCAACCCGCGGAAGGAAATGCAAAACAACTGACGTGGGTATTGTACGGAGGACTCACATTTCACGATCAAACGTCAGAAGCCATTTCAACTCTCTCGCATTGCTTCTTCTCTTGCAGCTGCAGATTACGCCATTGAGGGAGCCTGCAACAAAGAATCTGTGTTCCGGAGACTTGAGGAAGACGGTTTAGCGTTACAGGGCGTTATAAGGTCTTCTGCTTGGATGCTGTAATTAACACTGACTCTTGACTCTTGTCTGCTTTGTCACTGAGTTTCAGCCTTGGGGTCAATTGCTCTAGTTGACAGGCCCAGCACCTGACAGTCATGGCAGTTGACAAGCTTTGGCAAGCAAACCACATCTCACCCAGACCCGCTGTCCGAAATGTTCCTGTGGTTTGATCACTGCGCCGCCTTCCCAATGTAGGTCTTATAAGGTCCGTATGATGAAAGCACATTCGCCTGATTCCAAGAAAAGGCCACACTTCAAAGCTTGGACGATGTCCCGGCATGGCTAGTTGGGTTTAGTGTATGCCTATACAACTGCCTACGCGTGTGTGTGCGTGTGTGCCCCCCTCCATTTCTAGGAGCTTTCCTTGCAAGCACGCAGGGGCAGTGACAGAGTCTGTGGAATCACTGCCAACGAAGGCGCCCACATTCTCTGGTGAAGCATTGGGAGACGTCCTGATGCGTACCTGCGATTTGAACTGTCGACCCCTTCCGCTGTTCCTTGTTTGCATGGCGGTTGTCATGATACTCCCCCCAAACCGTTCCCCCGCCGATGTGCAGCGGCAGCGTCGCTGAGAGCTTCTGTAGTCAAGTGAAAACGCCTGTGTTCAAACATTCCTGTTCCGCGGACTCAACCACCTTTCCGTTGCAGCATTCCTTTCACTGTGGATTCTGGCACTGGATGAAACCTTATCTAACTGTGTCAGTATGTTGTCATGGTGCAGTATAGTATATATACATCAAGTCTATTCAAACAAAGCATTTTGCAGTCAGCTGTGTCCCGGCCTTGTCAACATTCTTCTCCTGCATTGTGAGAAGCCATAACTACAAAACTTTGAGATTGCTTCTCTACATGGGCATATCTTTCTGGCAGCCTTCTTAGCCCAACTTGCAGCTGCCGCCATGCGCCGCATTTCTTTGATGCGATGCATTTTGTTGCGCACAACCTGGGTCAAAGGGACCAAGAGCGCACTCTTGGCACTGCCAGATCAGCGTAGAGAAGTCGAGGAGATTGGACGTGATAAGCTGCAACTAAGGGGATGAGCTAGGGTGTGGACCATTAAAATACAAGAAACATTAAAGTGGACAAGTTGTGTTTTTCGCCTGCTCTGAGACTGTCACCCTTCGCCAGTATGATCCATCCTGAACAGCTCGCCCGGTTTGGAAGCACTCCCAATCTCCAAATTCAGTACGAACAAGAAGCTACTAGGGGCTCCTGACCTTACTACTAGGAGCAAGGACGCTACTAGGAGCTCCCCTGGCATCGCTACTAGGAACAAGAAGAGATAAATTTGGAGCCTCTGAGTCTCTGGAGTCTTGAGAGGGATTGGGATAAAATATATGATTACTGTAAATCCCCATCGTCTCGGAAAGAACCACCAAGCCTCATTGGGCTGAACCACCGTAACATCATTGCCATCGTCGTAAAGAACCAGAGCTGAGCCATCCCACCTGCCACGCAACAACTTAGGATCTATGCTGACATGCTCTTGAAGTGGGCCACATGCGCTTCGTTGTCAATGTAAAGTGTGTAAGATGTAGCTGTTGCTATGCTCTCAACTCTCAAAGTACGCACAGAAGTGGCAGCGTGGACATCTTGGAAAGAGCCTTGCAAGTAAAGCGGTACGAAGATCCCGTGTTTTTTGTCCAAGTCTCAGAGTGCACAGCTAGTGCACAGCTTGAAATCCGCTTTGACGGACTCATGCTCCAGAAGCACGGAATGTGGTTGCTACTCGTCTGCGCTACCAACAGCAGAATGCATCTGATAGATCTCGATATGTCCACAAAGTTCACTATCAAAAGGGTCCAAAACGTAATGGAACACCCAGTCCACGCAAATGAGCAGCACTAGTGCAATGACCGACAGCATCTAGCCGACCTGCGAACAGATTGTTGGGGTTGTCTCTGACATTGTCAGAAGCAAAAGTCTATTAACAAATAATCTCAAGAGGTCCTGGCTCATTGGCGCAGATTGAATTTGAAGATGGGAAAGTTTTGTCTCACACCATCTTGAAAATAATTCCCACTAACGATTGTGCTTCTCAAAGGAGTAGCACGTGAATGCGGCAGCATGAGTTGTCACGCTGGGATTCCTCCGTGAATTCGACGGTATAGCCTGCTACTGTCTACTGTATTGAGATGGTATCTGTACATTTTTTTGCGCGCGCAAACTCCAGCCTACTGGAATCGTTCTCCAAGTTGCGCATCTTCTTTCCAGCCTGGGACCAACGAGTCCACCAAGAGGCAGTACTCTTTCTTGGCCAGTTCCTGTCGCATTACAAGTTTCAAGGCGCCTGCGAACCATGTCTAAGAAGCATCCCCACTGTTCACGAGGCGCTGAGACGATCTTCTCGCAAGATATGGTTGCCTGTGAATACACCGGTGCGAACCACACCCCTAGGGGCTCACAAAACGCCTTGTCCATGGAGCACAATTTGGCCCAAGCTCTCCACTTGGTTCGTGCCTCGGACTTGGCAAAGTCGCTTTGCGCATGTCTCGCAGAATCGGACAGTGTCCAAGTTGAAGTCATTCTTTTAGGCCGTTATTTAGAAACCTTCAAGCATCAAGTCCAAAAGCCAACGCACAAGCAGCGCAGCGCTCTTTTGCTTGTTGATTGGTTTTTCCTCCAGTGGTATTTGAGAAAGCTAAGTTCAGTCAAACTGGGATGGTACCCAAAGCCGCCACCGATCCCTGTTGACCAGAAGAGAGAACACCATGGAGGAAAGCAAAAACCGGGCACCCTGAGAGCGGGTCCATGGGTGTTGTCAGGAGAGTGAAATTTAAAAAGGGCAAGAAAGCTAGAGGTGATACTTCCGCCATTTGGCGCGACGTCCCGTCTGGCAGTCAGGGCAGAAGAGGTAGTCCGCTCTGCCCGGGTCCATCTCCTCCACAAACTCCATGCCCCGGTTGCCCTTCTTCATGTTGGCCTGGGACAAGTGCGCCGTCTGCTACAATGCCTCTCGGGTGGCCTGGCTCGTGGCCACGAAAAGGTTTCCAAAACTCGCTCCACCAGTTCTTGAGTGATCGGGTTGGCCAGAAAGGCGCCCACCAAGGAGACCAGCTCGTTGACCGTCATCTGGGACACCTTGGAGCGAAGGGAGGCCCGGATGGACAGCAGCGAATTCCCGCCATTGGACCAACGCCTCGCCATCCACAATCTTCGGAGTTTCAGAGCCAGCGGCGTCTGCCTCTCCGCCGGTCCCGCCATCGTGGAGAGTCGGCTCCCGCTTGCGTGGGCGAAGACGAGGCTCCTCCACAGGTGGGCCCGAGGAAGGAGGCGTGACCGGGTCAATCTCCATGGGAGCCGCCGCAGCAGCCGCCGGTGTAGAAGAGGTAGAGGCCGCAGCAGCCACGCTCGCCTCCTTCAAGTTTTCAAGGTCAACGGCGCCTGCACCCTCCGGAGGAGAAACATGGAGCTTGGACATGCCCTCGTCCATCTCGGTCAGCCTGGCATTGAGTGCGGCCTTGTTCAGGAGCACAAAGGTCTCCTCTCCAGGGGAAGCAGCATCCGCAGAGTCTGGCACGGTGCCCGACAAGGCATACGCGGCACGACCAGTGGCCTCCAAGACGGTCTCCTCCACAAGACACATTTCATCACATTTCGTTCTCCCTCTCCTTAACCTCAGAGCGGTCCAAGGTGAACAAGGTAACCGTGGGGGCATCGTCCAACAACTCCAAATCAAAGATTCCCGAACCGGAGCCAAACATGGCGTCAAGGAACGAGGGGTAGAACACAGGGATTGGGTTTCACTTCAATGAAGACAAGGACTTGAGCCAAAATGGCCAGGCATTTTGGCTAGTGTTTTGAAGAAACATAACCTGCTTTCCACTTCAAGCACGTACTTAAACATGTGTGTATATATATATAGGAAGGCTGTGTAGAGGTGAGGTAGGGAGGTAGAGAGGTAGGTAGGTAGCTAGTAGCTAGGTGGCTACTAGCTTACTTAAGCTACTAGTATGGAAGCAGGATAGCTCACGCTCCCACAAATGATTTGGTTTCTAGATTCTATATGTTTGGGAAACTTAACAAAGTTGTTAAGTGATTCCTTTGTCTGAATGTTACGAGGCTCCGCACTTGTCATGAAGCAAGAACTCACTGCTACTGACCTTTACTAATGGCCAAGAAGCTCTGAACTCAAAGAGGCTTGGCTGCGGCCCTCGCACAGAACCCACAGTGGCTTGTTTCTGCAAGGCATACAGCCTGCCAAACATTCTTGAGCAAGACAAACCATAGTCACAGGAAAGTCCAAGACTCCAAAACCAATAATTTACATCGACAGAGTTTTCTACACTATCTACACTGCTTTTGATTTCAATTGATCTGCAAGTGTCAAGTGATGATTTGTCCAGCAAATGAGCAGCGACGATGTAGGTATTAATAGATACCTAGTTGCGTGGGGTGTGTTCATTCAAGACTACAACTCCGCCCATACAATATCACAACGTTTTGCGCATGAACACTGTATCGGTTTGCAAGGTGCTCTACGGTTCGCACATCCAAGGACATATTGCATGGTCAATAGGTTCTTACCTCCCGTATCGTTTTCCAGGAAAACTGAAAAGAGCCGTGCTGGATATTGCATCCTTGTATGAAGTACTTGATTTGAAGATGAGTCACATGCATCATATATAACATGAATATATATATATACACATATATAATTTATATAATCATGTATACAGTACGTTACAGTACTGTAATATGCTCAATGAAATAC